TTCAGCCCATGCATTTCCCTCTGGCCAGCCCAGGATGCGCAGGAGCGGGCAGCTGGGGACAACTGTGCAGTGAGAGCGCGCGAGGCTCTACCCCGGGAAACCCGGGGCGGCTCGCAGCTGCCCCTTGCTCTGCCCCGGCCGCCGTGCCGCGTCCCTTGCCTTGGCTCCCCGGCCTCTTCCCTGCTCAGGCCCGTCTCCCTGCTGAGCGAAGGCGTGAGCGGCGTTCGCCTCGGCATCAACGCCTGGGCAAGGTGCCCCGGGCAGCGGCCTGGGCTGGGCTCCCCAGGGGAAAAGGACAGTATTTGTGTCAGCCTTTTGCTCTAAAACGCCCCCTTGGCCGAGGGCAAGGCCCAGTTGCGTCTGCGGAGCAGCCTCGTCTCTTCCAGGCCTTTGGTGTAACTAAGAAGGGTTGTCAGGCTGGGGACAGCGTGGGGCGACCCTTGTCCGCAGCAGTCCTGCACCTTCTCAGTCCTCCTTGCCTGAGGTGTTGATGGGTGCTGGAGACCTTTCCCACCCGCCACCCGAGTGTTAGTGTCGACGTATGCCTTTTTATGGTATCCGGAGCACGCGCAGAACTGATATCAGAGGGATCCGGTGTCTTCCTGGGACTTCTGTCACGCAGAAGCAGCCGGTCACAGAGGTCCCTGCAGCGTTTCGGATTCGTGAAAGATGGAAGCCAGCGCAAACACGTCTGCTAACACAGAGCTGCCTGTTGTTCGGCTGTGACTGTGTCGGCAAGCATCACGTTGTGACACCTTGCTGCAGCCTGGCCCCTTCCCCAAATGCCGTGGGTTTAGGGCTCGCTCAGGTGAAAGTGCTGATAATAAAGGCAGAGAGTGGTGCTGTGCAGGCTGCCCCCGAGGCTCGGAGGCTCCCGGCCCAGCGCTCACTCCTCTGCCCTGCCCCGTTCAGGACGTTCGCTACCTCGATCCTTGCTGTCCTTGCTGTGCTCTCCCACACGGCTCACGTGTCGCTCCCCAGCCCCAGCGTGACCCTTTCTTGAGGGTCTCTCACGTGGCTTTGCCAACATTTTGGACCTAGGTCAAGACGTGGGCCTCTCCAGAGTGAGGCTAGGAATGAGTTTTTCTTTTCTTGGGAGAGTGGGAGAGGGATGAGGGAGAAATGTGAAAAAAGTCTGCTAGAAAACGTGTGGAGACTTCCCAACTCATTTCACTTCCGCCTGATCCTGCCTTGTTACCACCGCTCACGTCCCTGCTGTGCAGTAGCAGAGGATGCTTTTCAAACTGCTGCAAAAACCCCGTGTCCCGAGCACTTGCAAGTTCCCTTTTCCTCTTCCCTTATGCACCCCTCTCAGGAGGATGTTTTAAGACCATTTTCGCTTTCCTGTAGGCTGTTTATATTTCATTGCACTTCAGCAAGGCAGAAGGGGCTCGAGGAGTTGGCCATACGCTGTAGAGCCTCTTGTGCCGACAGGACTGGGACAGATCCAGCTGATCCTGGTTATGACCCGGACTCCTTGTCACCCATTTGTCAGTCGTGCGGAGGAGTAAGTCACGCTCAGACTTTGCTTGCCAGGTGAGGCTCGGGCCGGGCCAGGCGGGTGACCGTGCACCCGAACCCTTTGCTCTAGCTCCTACTAACGGGGCACTTGTGGCCCTCAGCGGAGAGCTCAAGGACCGGTGGGTCTGGTGACCGTTCCCACCTGCACGGCAGAGCTCAGCGTGCAGGGCGCTTGCTTTGCACCTTACCGAGGTTATTGTTGCTGTTAGATTGATTATGACTATTTAAAAAATGCGTGGTGCCACCGGTGCGTGAGGAGCTGTACAGAGTTAAAGGCAGGCTCAGGTCCTTCCCCCAGGAGAGCAGCCAACCTTCTCCCTGGTGTCAAAGCTGTCCCCTTCGCTTCTCCTCTTGATGCCATGGCCATCAGTATTTTGCCTCTCCCTTCACAGCCCTGTGGACTGCACAGTTGTCCAGTTCTTGAATAGACGTGGAAGATCTCCGGCTGTTTCGCCGGGGAGCTGCAGGCACCTAAAGACGCGCCCCCAGTTCCCTGGGTGCCTCGGCGTGGGAGTATACCCCGCGGCGTCCTCAGCCGCGCAGCCCGCCGGCCTGACCCCTCGCTGCAGACGAAACCTGGGGAGCAGCGAGC